AATCTGCATCCAATGGTCTTTTTTTAAAATATAATTGATAATCATAGCATGGTCCTTGAGAATTAAATGAATCAGCTAGAATTGGAATCTTTTGTACTATGCCTCCTGTTATTTCTCTTTGATTATTTTTTATACAAAATCTTTGAAAATCAATTCCACCATCATCTCGAAAATTAAATTGATCAACTGTTAACTGATAATGCTCACCACCTCGACAAGCTAAAGAAGGGCATTATGAAAAATATTCTTTTTAATGAGTGTATCAGAAATTAATGTTGATGTTGCTGGATTTGATAAAATGTTTGCAATGTTTTGTTGAGTTAAAGCAGCAGATCCTTTTATTTCTCTAAGTCCTTTATCTTGTAATTCTTTCATTATACCATCAATAATTTTTGTTAATATAGGTAATGATAACAATCACGTAAATTGATCCCATAAATAGTTAAAAATTCTATTAAATATCAATTAATCCCATCAAAAGCTTGTCTTATTGATAATGCTCTATATTCAGTTTTATTTTTTTTTATAGTAGCAATAAAACCTGCTACCTGATTTTCTAATATAGATATATCTGAAATAAGATTCAATGGAATCTTATATTGATCATCTTGTGGATTAGATTCAATCATATTTTTTTAGAATTTTTCAAAGAGTTCAAGCCAGTTTTTTGTTGCCCTTTCTGTATTTTGAACTTGTGACTTGTTTTGATAAAATAAAATTGCCTTTTCAATATCAGTATTTTTATATGATTTAGGTTGTAAACTTGGATTGTTTAAAACTTTACGAGCAGTATTAAATTTTATGATCTTCTTTAATTTCATTTTTGAGAAATAAAATTAAAAAAAAATTTAAAAAAAAAATTATTGATGAATGTAAAAAAAACACTATTTTTACATCATAATAACATGTGAATCACATAATTCATGTGATTTTTCTTATCACAGGCGTTAGTAATTGTGAAATATAATATTTATTTACCACTCAATCGCTGATATCATCAGGGTCATAGCTGCACTGTGACACCTGATGATATCTCTGATTTTGCGATAAATAACTAATATACATTAATTAATTATATTTTATAACTAATTTGTATATTTTTTATAGAATATTTTACCAGGGAAATTGATCTTGATATTAATATTCCTACGATAGACATTATTTAGGAATTTAGTACTTTAAAGTAAATAATGAAATTATAATTTTACAAATGAAGAAGCTTTAAATTTTTTCTTTATCAGTTGCATTTTAAAATGTTATAATATTCTACAATTTTGATCACAGACAAATGAAGTAATAATTTATTTCAGTAATAAAACATATTAGTATGAAATTTTTATTAATAGTCGCACATGATTTTTAGCGATATTTTAATATCTTCAAAAATATCTAATTTTATATCCATTAATTGTATTTATTGATTACATAATACAAATAATGAAATAAAGCTCGCTACAATTTATAATTAAAAGTCACATTTTTAAAATGATAATTGTTAAAAATTAGTAATTTATTATCAACAATTGATGGATT